TGCGCCCTGGCCGGGCTGCGGGGAGCCGCGCTGGTGGACATCCGCCTGGTGAGCGCCAAGACCGGCTACGGCATGGAGGGGCTGGTCAGCCGGCTGCAGCGCTCCTGGAAGTGCGCAGGAGATGTCTACCTGCTGGGAGCCACCAATTCCGGCAAGTCCACTCTCTTCAACACCCTGCTGCGCTCCGACTACTGCAAGTCCCGCGCCCCCGACATCATCGACAGGGCCACCGTGTCCCCGTGGCCAGGTCAGGGCACCACTCAGCACTTTGTAGCACGGGTAATGGGGGATGTGGGCTGCACAGGTGAGTTGAGAGTCTCTGGGCTGCTCTCGGCCACCCCTGCAGCAGGAGAACCAGTCATCAAAGGGGTACCTGCCACCCTCAGCACCTCCGTGGTGGGCAGCAAGCTCCAGAGGTGTGCCGTGCTTCAAATTGTCACCTGTGAGGAGCGGCTGAAGTGTTTAACCTGGAGAAAAGCGGATTTGAGAGACCTTATCACTCTCTGCATCTACCCAAAAGAAGTTGTAGCCAGGTGGGAGTCAGTCTTCTCTGTGACAGCCAGTGACAGCAGAAAGGGACATAGCCTTAAGATGTACCATGGCAGCTTTAGGTTGGACATTAGCAGGAATTCTTCACCAAAAGGATGGCTAGACATTGGAATGGAATACCTAGGGAGATGATGGAGTCACTGTACCTGAATGTGGCACTCAGTGCCATGGTCTAGTCGACGTGGTGATGTTCTCAGAGGCTTTTTCCGACCTAATTGATTCTGTGATTCGTCGGGCCAGCAGGAGTGGGGTGCATGTGCTGAGGGTGCTGTGCATCCTGTAGCGCTAAGAGGCTTGGTAAACCAGAGTGGGTGTGTGTGCACCCCTGCCAGTTAGAATGGCACCTGATGCGCATGCCTTGCCCTGTCCCTATCCATTAGAGGTGCCTTCCAGTCTGGAAAGGCCAGGAGGTGGAGTGGTGAGCACCTGTAGGCCAAACCAAGCTGTCTGAAGTTGAGACTTGTCTGAGGAGTACTGAGTCAGCACCACTCAGCTTTGAGACCCTTTTAGTCAAACTAGCTGAGAGCAGGTCTTAAGCAGGTGGATGGTGTTTTTTGTGTCACCTGATTGGGAAGTTAGTACTTTTTGGGAACAGCTGTAGTTCCACCTCTGACTTTGTGTTAGTGGGTTTCACCAAAAAGTTAGAGAAGCAGTTTTTTTTTGTAATCTTGTTTCTCAGAGATGAAATGTATCAGGTAGTGAGAGACCCAGAAGTGCCTTCTGTTTGTTTTTCCAGGAACAACACTGAACCTTTTGAAATTTCCAATTATTAACCCTACGTGTGACAGGATATTCCGAAGGCAGGAGAGGCTAAAAGAAGAGGCAGCAAAAACAGAAGATCAGCTAAGCATTGAAGAAAAAAAGTACCTTAATCAACTTAAAAAGCAAGGTTACCTAGTGGGTGAGTAAAGGTGTTACTTTTCTGCCCCTAATGAAAACACTGCATTACACAAAGGTTAAGTGATTTTGACCATTGTTTGCTCCCAGATTAATGCGGGCAAGACCTCTGTCTTCTCCATAAGCCGCATCATTACTACTTTTGAATAATGTTAGCTGCTGTAGTAGCAGAGGGTTCCTTTGTGCAATGCCTCTCCTGCCTGAACAAGGCTGGCAAATTCTGATAGCTTAGTAGTTTGCAGGGATATCACAGTATGAGTCATCTCTTGTTCCCAAATAAAGAAAATAAGTTTAATTTTAAAGTCACATTTGGGCTGCAGGCTACAGGGGTTATATTTCATTTTAGTATGTATTCAAAACAGGGGGTTGCCAGAAGATAGCTCTGGTTTTCAGGTAATTCTGTGTTTGGCAGTAGGAGGCACTGAAAAAAGAAGGCAGCCAGCTTTACCATTAATTGGAAATAACAAAGTGTCTGTGATCTGGTCCCTGCTGAGATTTTGGGGCATGAGGAGTGCTAAGTAAGAATTATAGAAGGGATTTCATACCATTTTGGCTTTTGAGCACACAAATTTCTAGCCATATAGCGTCTTTATCACCTTTATATTAGTGATGTGCATTTCTTTTAAGACGCGAAAGGGGCAGATGTTTGATTGAAGGGAAGCAAGTTAATAACTAAATTACCTGGAAGATCTTTCATTTTAATCCAGGAAGAGTTGGAAGAACATTTCAACAGCAGAAGTCTAGCACTGAGATTGACTTTGACCCTGACATGCTCTCCTACAGCATGGATGAAGATCCTAGAGATCCACCTAAGAAGCATGAGGAAAGGGAGGAATTCACTCACAACGAAGTGAAGGATGCTCGGTGGTGTTTTGACACTCCAGGAATTGTAAAGGAAGACTGTGTAGGTAGTCTCTGGTGCTGTGTTTCGGGGTGACGGGGTTTGGGGGAACTGTTCTGCCTTAGCTGTGCCTGTGGCAGAGTGTTTCTGTAGTGGGACAGTAGTCCTGGCATTAGGATTCTCTTAGTTTGGGAATTACATTAAGATAAGGTTTGTATTTACTTGAAAGGGGTTCATGTGGTAATGCTGTTGCATTTCTGCGTCATGCAATTGCATTGCAAAGGAGCTGCAGGACTGCATCACCAAGCTTCCACAACCTCTGAACAAAGGGACATAAGCAAGAGTGTTCTTAGCAAGTTCACACCAGCATCACCCAATGAAGCTGGCTCTTCTTTAGCTCTCCCAACCTATGGAAAAAGGTGGAGCTTAGGAGGATTACCAGAGCTATATGACCAAACCACATCTTAGAGAAAGCATTCTTCTGAAGCTAGGAGGATCTACAGTGTTGCTGCTACTGGCTGCAGTATGTCAGTCCTTTGTCAATAGAGCAGTGCTTTACTGAAGCCAGTGCTGACATAATGCACATGTCTAAAACAGGCATGTTTTGATTTTTGGTCGTTTCAATACCCATGCAGAGTTGCAGGTTATCTTTTGGGGAAGCTTAAATAGTACAGGAAGACAGGAAGGTTCTGAAGAGAATGAAGTGCAAGGACTGTGCTGAGAGTTTACAGCTCAAGTGCAGGTACTGCTTTCATGAGCACTGGAAGACTTAGTTATTTAGTGATGTATTTGTCAGACCATAATGTGCACTTAGGTCTCTGATAGACAGCAAAAAGCCTGGCATCAGCTTAGAGACCTGGTTTGGTAACTTGAGACTGTGTGTGTTCTTCCCTTCTTCTGGAGTTGAATACATGTGGAAAATACTTCCTACATCCAGAAATAGCTGTTGCTGTTTCTGATTCTGACTGTCCTCATGCTCTCCTTTAGAGAGTTCCATGCCAAGTTTCAGATCAAATTTTGGTCCTGCAGTCAGTGTTCAATCTGAGTAGAAACCAAGAGATTGTCTGTGGCAGATTTTGGCAGGGGAGTTCCTTGTTTCTCGCTTACCGTGTGAACCAGAATTGAACTGTTGGGTCGGGTGTTCTTGACATTGCTTTACTCGGTCTTTTTCCTCTATCAATATAATGCCAATACTAACTTCGTTGTTCCCATTGAAACATCTGGAATGAGTTATGACAATCTGTTTTGCAGGTTTTGAATCTCCTAACAGAGAAGGAAGTAAAGCTGGTTTTGCCATCACATGCCATTGTTCCTCGGACCTTCATTCTCAAGCCAGGAATGGTCTTGTTTTTAGCAGCTTTGGGACGTATAGACTACTTAGAGGTAAGGAAAGAAAGGATTTTGGGAGCAGCTGCTTCATCTCTTGCTGTAGTACCAGCCATAAAAGGCTTTCTGGGTAGCTTTCCCAGACCATTTAGTTGCTGCTTTAGAGTTGATGAATCAGTTATTGAATCGCAAGAAGCGTGAAGTCAGAATTGGGATGGGTAGTTGAAAGGCTTGTTACTTGTTACCAGCATGCAGTATTACATAGTGTATAATGGGACTCGCTCTTGAATGCTGACAAACATCTTGAGTTTAGTGTGCTTCCCATGACATACAAAGTGGCAGCATGAGGGAGAGAGGAGAATGTCATAATCAATAGGGAAAGTAGGTAGGTTTCCTCAGTTCTGTGTTTTGTGAAAGCTGTCTGCTAAGGGGAAAAGCATAGACATTTTTCTTTCCTGGCAGACCTCTGAAGAACTTCCCCGAGGAGGCAATTAATTTCATGTTTATTTTAGTTTCTGTAAAAAATATTTTTCAAATGTTCTTCCATTTATTAAGAATCCCATGCCATACACCTTTGTGTGGAGTTGACATCCTGTGATGCTTCCTCTGTAAGAGGCAGTTTCATAAGAACATTAGACATTATCATAAGTCTTAGATAATTTTTTCAGTAGCTTTCCCTGTTTTAGGGGTGTGTATGGCTCTTTTGTTTCAGTCTGCTTTCCAAGATCACCACAAAAATGTTGAATTGGTGCTTTGCTAAGGACACTCTTGGACCTGCTGGAAGAAAACCAGGAAGGTGGAGGGGGCAGGATTCTGGAAAGTAAAAACTGTACGAGTATGGCAGGAGGCACACATTGATGTATCAGTCTTGTGTATTTGTATCCTCCTGAGATCATGGAGGACAGTTGTACTCAGATCATGACAGAAGCTCCTGCCTCAGCTTAGACCTTTGAATTTGAAGGAATTCCTGCACTTATTCCTGGCTGCTTTCAGTGTTTGGAGAGGTCTCTCCCCTCTCTGACATTGTTTGCTCTTCCTGGAAATGCCATAAGAGTGCCTGCTGAAATTGCTCCACCAATTTTGTATAGCTTGAGAGCAGCTCGAACCAGATACTGTTGAATGAGTGCTGCGTGTTAGAAATGTAGAGTGATAGGAACAGACCAGATGTCCATCACCTCTTGAGCTAAATAACTACACTTTGTTCTTGTGAATGAAATGAGAGCAGACATCTCTCTTGGATGATTTGCCTGAGCTGAGCAGCTGTGCTGGGAGTAAATGTGGCATTGGGGGTTCTTTGAGGGAGAATGGTGAAGCTATGGGTCTTCTCTCCCAGGAGCTCAAATCAATTTTATATAAATCCTGGCTGCTGTCATTGGCAGAGGCAAATACCTCTCAGACGGGGAGGGGGCATCAAGCAGGCAGATTTTCAAAATGCAGGAAAGAAATGTGGCAGGAGAGAGCAATTCAGGGCTGCTTTTCTGTTAGCATAATTAACATCCTTTTGGTATTTATTTCAGGGAGAAAAGCCTGCCTGGTTTTCTGTCTTGGCTTCTAACCTGTTGCCAGTCCATGTTACTACACTGAGTAATGCAGACACCATCTATGAGAAGCACACAGCCCAAGAGTTCCTAAAGGTAAGGGGAAGTGCTGGGGGAACTTGTGGCTGCTGGTAGGCGGGACCCATGTCTGGGGTACAGCTGACCCAGATGTTCCCGACAGGGAACATCCACAAGTACCAGGAGTTTGGGACGTGTGCAGTGGGTGAGTGGAGATGCACAGTGTGGAGCAGTCTTGCATAGACTGCATGGCTCAGGTGTGTTGGGAGAGAGCAGTCAAGATGATGCGTTTTCAGCAGTTTCTGTTTCTAGCATTCAGGCTGATAAGATTTGCAGTGCTTCGCTTACTCATACTTGGTTCTTGAACAGCCTTAAAGTGCAGGCAGCAACAGGGATATTTTCCATGGCAAACCTGCAGACTGGGGTTTCAGCACAGACTGCAGCTGAAAAATTTACTTCTCTTATTCTTTCCCTGCTGGATCTTCTGCACGTATCTTCACCTCTTGGTGGTCTGACTTTTCCCTTGGTATGGCAGTGTTCAGTGTAGCACTTGCAGATTGATGGGAGATGGGGTGAGATGTCCCTGTTGTGATACTCCATTCCTGTACACATGGAGAACAAGTGTTGTCACTCACATCAAGGCAGCTGGCCTGATGCACCAGCTGCATCCTGCAGTGGACACTCCATCTTGGCTCACCTTCCACAGGGTTCCTCTGGATGTGATCCTGACCCTGTTCTGACACACCTCAAATAACTCCTGGAGGTTATTCAGTCCAGTTGCTAATTGGCTCACAAATGTTTAATGTCTTTATTCTCCCTTGTGCCTTGCTTGCCAGTTTGAGGTAGGAGTGCTGAAGAATCTCTTGACTATTAAATCATTTCCCTGTGTTTTAATCTTAGGTTCCCATGGGTGGGGAAGAGAGAATGAAAGAGTTCCCCCCACTTGTCCCTCAGGACATTACACTGAAAGGAATTGGTACTACTGAGGCAGTTGCAGATATCAAGCTTTCCTCTGCAGGTAATTTAATATTTCTTCATTAGTTTGCTTTGCAGGGTCTGCATCCTAGAAACATTGATGGGAAGAGGCCTCTTAAGGGGTGAAGCTGTATTTCCTGCTCAGAGCAGGACTGTCAACAACACAAAATCATAGCAGCTATGACTTTGTCCAGCTGAAGTGTGGCAGCCTCCAATAATGGAGATTGATGGCCATGCTAGTACAGGATGGCAACATTGGAATACTTCATGCTCTGGCTGCCATACAGGTTCTACAGTAGCAGGAATGGCTGTGACACTGTCAGCTGTCAGGTGAGACGGAAAGGGCCATTGATTGGAAAGTTTAATTCTTGTGGTTTTGGTAGCTCCCACCATCCCACTTAAGTTTATCAGGAAAGAGCTGTGTCTGAGGAGGGTGATGTGACTTCAGGTGCTGCCTTCTGTTAGGAAGGGGCTGGATGTGACCTTTGAGCTTGATTTCTCAAGCAACCACACGAGGATAGTTCGGATTTTTAGCCACTCTGGGCAGCAGTAATTTGTGTCAGAACCTTGTTTTGATTCTAGGGACTTCACTTCCTCACTGTCCGTATTCTCTCTGTCTGTGCAGGCTGGGTGGCGGTGACGGCTCACGCGGAAGAGGAATTGCTGCTCCGAGCCTACACTCCCAAGGGCACTGCGTTGGTGGTGCGGGAGCCTCCCCTTTTGCCTTACATCAGTACCATCAGAGGGGCCCGGATCCCGGGCACTCCTGCCTACAGGACCAAAAAGCCTCCTTCCTTTGTGGAAAACCTAAGAACCACGGGCAGCAGATAGCGCTTCTCATCGTTGGAGCAAGGCAGAAGACATAACAGCCCCTGGAGAACCTTCAGGCTTATTGGTGTTCAGAAAGTGTTGGACTTGTTTTGAAAGGCCAGCAGGCACATTTTGGAAAGCAGGCCCTGAGGGAAGCTCCACAAGTCCACATCTGATCCAGGTGCTGAACTGCAGCCATTTTGAATGAATTGAGGGGCTGTGACCTTGCTGTGGGAGGGGAAACAGCTTCTCCCTGGGATCTGCATCAACGGGCAGATCCCTTTACCTGTCCTTTCTTGAAATATGGGGTGGAAACTCACCTGCCTGACCTGATCTGACTTTGCTGCTCATAGAGTAGGTGGTTTCTTGCAGGCATGCTCCCTCATGTCAGAAATCATCAACTTATTCTTAAAGTGTTCTCATAGTTAAGGGGGTGGAGGGAGTTGGAGGGAGCAGGGAATGCTCCTGTGTGGGTATGACCCTCCTGGAGGCTGATACTGATTCAACAACATGGACCAAAAGTGGTGTCCTTTCTCCAGCATCTGGAGCAGATTAGAGTGTGCAGTATCCTGCTTTTGGACACAGGAAAAGAGATTTAATGAAAAAAATGTGCCTGAAGAGGAAAGTTTTGCAGTTCACTGCTTTGATTTGGTTTCTATAGCTTGGGTACAGGTTTTTGAAACCAAGTGTATAGAATAAAACTTTACAAAGATGCTTTTTTGTTGATGTAGTTGATAAAGCACTCTTTGTGTGGGCATAAGCACCTTGCTAATCTCATGAAAGCTCCAGTGCAATAATAAGTATACTCAATCTGCCAAAGACAGTCAGACTGTGAGAGACATGGCCACCCAGTCTGCTGAAAAAGAGGCAAAAAAAGAGTATTTTCTAATCTTACCATTTCACTGATGTTTTCCTCAGTCAGTCTGTTGTTCCCCAGAGGCAACTCTGCTGTCCTTGGGTCAGGCTGTTGTCCTGAAGAAGCCTGGGTGATCAGCAGAAATCATTGGCTCATTCACCATCCTCTTCTCACCGTTCGTTGCCTGTGGGATGTATTGGTGCTCTTTTAAGGAAACCGGTCCCTTTGCCCTGCTCTTTGTTTCCCCCCAATTTTCAGCCCAGACCCACCATGTGGATCTGTCTGCAGCCCCTGCTCAGGGCTGCTCTCACCCTGTGTGAGGCAGCCAGAGTCTCCTGTGGAGCCACTTTCCATGCTCTGCCATTTCCTTCAGCTCTTCCTTGCCTTGCACTGCCACTTGCTTCCCTGCTTCCCATGCTGGGGTCTGGTGAGATGGGGCGGGCCAAGCGGGGCCATGGTGGGTTTGAGAAGTGTTGGGTGCTGTGGGGTTTGAAGTTCAGCACTGCCTTGAGGGAGTTCCCTGTCCCTTGCTGGTGACTACCCTGTTCACCCCATGTAGAAAATCAGTTGTTCTTTGTGAAGGTCAATCTGCTGCCAGTGAGCACGGGGAATGTGTTTCATGTGTGTTCAGTCTGTGTCTAGACCAGAGTTCCTACTATACATTAGACAAAATATGTGCACCCTCACCTTGACTTCTCAGGAAGTCTTTTCTAGTTCTTTCTAGAAGAAAAAAACCGATGGCAGCACGTTCCTTGCTGCTCAGGCTGTGACTCACACAGCTCTCCTGTTTTTCTTCTGTTTCTGTGTTGTGAAAGCCAGCACATGTGTGGCCACTCCTAGGGTGTGCTTGGCAAGCATCAGAGCACAGGCAGCAAGCTCCAAAATGTGTTTTTTCCAGCATGGATATATAGGACTGTAGCTGTCTTCCTGGCTGGATTTCTGTGTGCTGTTGGCAGGCCTCACATTTGGCTCCCAAAATTACTGAAGGAGTTGCCAGCAGGACTGGTGTGAGGATTATCTGTTTTAGCTGTGCTAATCTTCACAATGCTGTGATTTTCAATTTCCCCTGCACAAAGGGAAAAAAAACACATCTTTTTAATGTTTAAGAACAAGATTCTAGAAGTTTTTGTTTTTTTTTAATTCTTCTAAATTTACTTTTGTGGTGATGAAAGAGAAAGTGCTATATTTACGTCAAGTGTTGTAACACACAGAGCAAACCAACCCCTGTACAAATTCTGCCCATTATTTTTGAGCAGGCCATGGATTTGTCAAGTACTTTCCTTGACTTACCCGTAGCTAAATGGGAGAACCATGTTACTTTGTGTATTTCTTTGAGACTGGGTATCTTGAACACTGTTTAGCTGGCAAGAGGCTAAACAACTTCTTCATGTGTCTAGAAACAGTATGAACAAGTCATGTCATTCAGTTTATGTCTTAAGCAAGAATGCTGAGAAGAATGCAAAAGAATACTGACCCAGAGACCTCTGCATCTTGAACAAATGCACCAATCCAAACTTCCTGTATGAATTGCATGCATCAGATGGTGGTGAGAGAGACAGTATCAAGATCTTCCAGAACTGCCAGCTTTAATATCACAACCCAAAAGCAGATGAAGGTATTGAAAGAAACCAAAGTGACACCTATTCCTATTCATCCCTGGCTGTGTGACAGGTGTGTGGATGAGGTACATCATGAAAAGGGACTGGTAGGCAGCACTTCCCCTCTACACATCAGAGGTCTGAAAGGCACTGTAGCTTTTTGAGTCAAAGCCACCATAATGTTCTTGTGGGATGATGCAGTTCTGCAGTGCCTGAATTCAGAGCCGTGTTAACAGGCCACAGGAGAATCCATCACTCCCGCCTGTCTAGCTGCCAGCTTAAAAGTATCTTTGCTACTGATTTCCATAAACACATCCATTGCTGAGCATAATAGTCATGGGCTACAGAGGTGAATACCCCTGGCTCTGCCTTTTTGCTTTGTAAAGTTCTCACACATTTGGTGGCTTTAGTTCTTCCTGGAGCACTGCCTGGGGTGGTGTCACTCCGTTCCCAGTATGAAACAGACTATAATTTGCACAGACTGTTCCTCAAACTTTTATAGAAGAATAAAAGTTTGGATATCTTTCCACCAGTGAAATGTCTGGAAAAAGAAAGGTAAAATGATTAAGAACTACAAACATTCAAAAAGTGAAGAAGAGGGAAAAAGCTGGAGCAAATAGAAGAAAAAGTAAGTAGCAGAAACTGCTTGAAAGAGGACTGCATTTAGAGACAACATTTAAATTTTGTGGTCTTACATGCAAATCTTACTACAGGAAGATTTTAAAACTAGGGCCTGGACTTTGGGCCCCACAGAGCTTAAAAGAGTTCTACAATGGGGTACAAGTGTTACAGAAACAGGGAAATGTAGATTGCTACAGTTTTTCTTCACAAAACTCTCAGAAATCTGCCCACACAGATAAAATATGATGTCTTTGTGATCTGATGTATCCTCCATAGCCAAAACCACAAAAGAAAATGTACTACATTTGTTTTAAGGGTGCATCTGAACTCAGAAAGCAGTTTTTGAAATCAGAAATAATACCTTTACACATTTCCACATTTGCTAATTGAAAATAAAAATGTAACTACAAAATTAGTCCCGATCTTTCCCTGTATATGGCAGATTGTACTACATTTAGTCTGAAATTAATAAACAGGTAGTCACATGAATTTTGAAATTTTAAATGAAGCTATCTACACTTAGAAAAGAAAGGTTTTATTCTACACCTCTAGAACATTTGGTGTGGCTTTGGTATATTTGTCAACAAAATGAGAATACCACTTCTGCAGTACATTCTGTATCTGCAAAACAAGCACATTTAAATGAGGGAAGCCTGACAGTTTTTCTAGAAGTCAAGGCAGGCAAAGTTAGAGGTTAGAAGCAAGTCCTTGAGCTTCTAAATGTCAGATTTGCCAAGACCTTAATAAAATCTGGCAAATACAAAATACATTGTAAACATTAACAATGGGACAAGAAAATAACAATATATCCAATACCCATGCAAAACTTCTGAGAATTTGCTGAACCTCTTGCAGTTATGACAAGCAGAGGAAATATGGGAGAAGAGAGGAAAGGAAAAAAAAAAGTGTAAAAACATGGTATCCAGCAGAGGGAGGTAAACCTCACTGATACACTGTTCATACTTCCCTACTCTACGATGTGAGGGGGGCCCACAGGCACATACTGCTCCTTTTTGTCCAAAAAATAAGGGAAATTTAGAGAAGTAAAGGAATATCCTCCTAATATGTATTAGGAAGCGTGTCAGATAGATGCATGCATGCTAAGTGTTTCAAACTGGTGCCTTAGAGGACATTTTCTCCTGATTTGAACTAACTGGGAAATGCAGTAAATACCTTTGACTAGAACCTACCAGGCAATGAACTGCCAGGATGCACTGGGCAAAATTTGATGTTTATCTATACTGACAAAAAAATCCCACAGATTTTAAGGTTAGAGATTTTTGGCTAAAACTAGTGGATAGGCCAATGTTTTTAAATTTAGGTATCTATGAATCCAGCAAACATTTTGGAAACAATCATTTGACATCCATTTTACAACACACCCACTTGTCACTGGGCTTTGTGCACTCTGGGCTCCCTCCATGGAACTCTAGGACTTGTGCTTACGTCTGTGTAGTAGCTCCCAGGAATTCTTTTGTAATAATACATAATTCAACCTTTTTAAAAGAGCCTGTGACACTTTGAAATGCTGTGGTAGTCCGTACTGGTGAGTATGGGAGTCATAAAAAGGAATGAGTGTGTTTCAGGATCGCTGGTATCCGTACAGGCAAGCCACCTTTGGATGAGTGAGGGAAATGGCAGACTGCCACTTGGTTTATTGCTGGCAGTCCTGTTTGAGAAGCAGGAGTTAAGAACTGGCAAATTAAGCCAGTTCACATTAAATTTCTTCAGGCTGCTCAATTTATTTAAATGTGATACTGGTGGCATACATCCTGAGGATGACCAGCAGTGATGTCAGAACTTCACAGTACAGAAAGGTTCTGAGGCAAAGAAGAGAATGAACTGTATGCTGTTTGTGAAAAATAATGGGATTGACCCATTTAATATCTTACAGTAAATCAATAGGGGCTCCTGTGGGATGAAACCCTCAGCAAATTAACAACGTATAATGACCTTGACAAATGAAAACCCTGAGAGCTGGGCTAAGAATACTGAGTCATTCAGAAAGCAGTGGGGATACTAATAAATGACATTTATTAGCCTAACTCCACAAGGACTGGCAAATTCTATTCTCCCCATTCTTAAGCCTACAAAAAAAAGGAAAACCAAAGACAAAGGGGGTCAGGAGGAGGCTGAGGGCTGTCAGTGCCCTCAGAAAGAGGGACATATAGAGGGGCATAAGACACCAAAACTACAGGAAGCCTAGAAATAAAACAACCAGAAGTAAAATTGCTGATGTTTCCCCACAATGCAGGCCAAAGCAGTCCTGTTTGAACCATTCAGAGGCTTAGGTTAGGGTTATGAGACTTGATTCTCAAAAGGCAGCCTTTCAGTCAAGTTTTGATTGAGGGGACTTTATAGAATCACTGCAGAGTGCACTGCACTTGGCTGGCTAATGGAGCATGAGAGAGGTGAAGCTGATGGTGGTCAAAGGAGCAGCACTCTACAAATTAAAGGAACTGGCTCAAGTGGAAATGAGCACCACTGAGAGTGAGCACAGAACTGTTGTACTCAAAGTTATCCATGTGTAACAGATCATTTCACTGTCAAACTGAAGATCATTAAACATGCCTAACCCTTAGATAAATAAATTGAGGCTAAAGCTGTCTTTTATGCTAAGCAAAGAGAAATTCTAGCGAAACAACAAAT